CATGTGCGATCCTCGCAGCGCAACTCCATATATTTTCCACCCGCACCCCTCCCCGGGAAAAAGAAGGTTCCGCCTGCTGGGATAGCCGGGTGTCTCCTCGCCTCTTCCGGGCGCCTGTTTCCGGCCGGTCAAGTGTGATAGGAACACACAGGGTAGGTCTTGTGACCGCCGGCTGTTTGGGCGTAACTAACCGGGAAGGAAAGTAGGGGGGGCTCCACAATAAATGAGGGGGGTGAGGAGAGGAAAGCTGATAAAACAACGCTTTTACTATTTATCTAGAAAAATGGCTTCGGGAACCGCACTTCAAGCGGCTCCATTGCTTCGTGAGGAGTGAACGAAGGCGCGTCCGTCACCCCCTGCTCAGGCGGCAGCTGTGGTAGCGCCCAGGCCGGCAGCCGGCTGGTTGGGCGCGCAGTTCGAAGGCGCGGAGCGCGCGCCGGCTGGGTGAGGCGCCTCTCGCGCCCCCTCAGTCACCTCAGGACCGAGCACCTCTCCCCTCGGCTCCGGCCTTCCGAGTGTCGGCTCCGTGGGGCACCTCCGCTTTCTGGGGCTCTGGGGGCGGGCGGGGTTGGTTAGTCAGTGAAGGCCGCTCTCCTTGGGCGGGCGTTGTGCCGCCGGGTCGGCCTCTGGCACCCGTGCGCCTCAGCCTGTGAGATTTGAAGGCAACGAAACACGGAACGCCGCCTACTCGTTTCTCACAAACTCTGGAAAACTTTTCCTGTGGCAGCATAAAAGTAAGTGCTTAGGGGTGCATACGGGCAGGTGCGTAGGAATGTGAAATATTTAGCGTTAATGCACAAATATGTATGTGTGTGCATGCTTAGGGTGAGGAGAAATGATTGATTGTCATTAAATTTATGCTTTAATTAAAAATATGTATGGGTATTTCTGGAGATAACGCTCTTTGAAGTTAAAACTAGTCTTTCGGTCTTCTGTAGTCTAGTGAAATCACTTGAGTTAAAATAGCTGTAAGCAGTATATCTGTTCCATTACTGTTTTCAAAGCAGCCAGCTGTTAAAAGAGGAATTAGCTAACAACCTAGGGTAAAGGTCTGGCTATTGTAATGTTTTTCTTTTTTCCAAGCATACTCTTTGTTACAACCAAAACTTTCTTCTGTGTGTCTGGTTAAAAAAAAAAAAAATCAAACAAAACCAAACTAATAGGATGCATTAAAAGTTGGAGAACTACTATTTCTTGTCCTCACTGATCTTGTTTGTTGTCATACATTGCACAAGATAGCTTTAAAATTTCAGAGGAAGTCACAACTAGGCACAATCTCAGCAATTCTTTAATTGCATATACTTTCTTTATTAACTAAGGTTTTAATGCAAAATATGTTTTGAATGTTGTTTTTTTGTATGTGTTATTCAGATGCTGTTTCTTATGAAATAAACCAGCAAAATCCTATTTCTCCCTCATCTTTTTTGATTGAACCATGGTAGCGTGGATTTTGCAAAATGCAGTAGGGGTTGTTTGAAAATGTACTTAAAACTTTTTTTTTTTCCTTTGGTTGAAAGTATTAACACTGTTTTGTATTATTTGTAGAACACAGTTGTTTCTTTGTGTCTCTGTGCTGCTGTTTAGTTGAAAGGCAGGTTTTGCTATGGTATTAGGAACAGCTGTGCTTCGTTTAATCAGGTGCATTGTTAGGTGCATTGGCCAAAGCTGAATTCGGTTTCTGTACCTGATTAGGATTGCTTTCTATCTGCTGAACAGCTGCTTGTTCTATTACAGCAAATGTAAAACAGCTGAGTACGCTCCTGGATGAAATCATGATTAGTTAAAAAGATTCTTAAAGAAAGCCTTTGACTACATTAGAATCCTGATTTAAATTCTGTATTTGGAGGCTACGCAGTGCTCTATGTCTTAAAATTGATTTAGTAATTACATTTGGACTCAATGAATTAAGTCTTTGAGGAACTAATGCAATAAAACTACAAGTTTTATTTCAAAATTATCTGGCTTTTTTGCTCTTGTAATGTCTACTTGCAGACCAGTGTCTTTCTAAGTGAACTTTCTAGGGCTTAAGTAGGAGTTACATTGATGTTAGAGTACTGTATTATTAAGAGCAGAGTTTTACTGCATGCCTAATTCTGTTTTCGAGTTGGTGACAGAATTCCTGTCAAATTTGGTTGCTGAGGATCAAGGTTTATATGTTAGTTTCATCTTCCATAGCAAGCAGGAGTGTTCGACACTCTAGAATTCTTTGCAGATGTATAAATTATTATACTTGTCAAAGCTACCTGGGCTATTTAAAAATTGTATGTACCAATTCTTCAGCTTTCAAAAGTAATAAAATATAATAGAATTGTCTCATTTTAAGTAGAAGGGTAGGAGAAACAATTGTCTAACACTGTATTTGCATTTCTTAAATTTATTCCTTAAATAAATGTAATTTATTTTGAAAATGGATTTTTTTTTTCCTAAGAAATGTACTTATTTTGTTCTAACTAGTAACCTTGATTCTGAGAAATGGACAACAGCATTTGTCAAGTTTATGAAGACGAAATCCAGTCACTGGAAGAAGAAATTAAACTATTGACTGAAAAGTATGAAGAGAGCCAACAAGAATCCACCTTTTTTTCTGATGAGGAGATATTAATGTCAATGTATGCCTTTTATCATGTGTTGGATTAATAGTTTTTCTTTGTCAAAATTGTTTAGGATGAGCTTTTGTCTCTATGTGAGGACATTGCTTATGTTATTTTTGCATCGCTGATCTTGTTTTGGATGTGGCTATATATGGTAAAAGACAACAATAATAGTTCATCTCTTTCTGCTGCCTTCTGTTGGTAGTAGGTGTTTTTTTTAGGATTTTGATTTGTTTGTTTGTTTTCAAAAAGCTGAGAGCATGATATCAGGTATGTTACTGTCCATGCCCTGCAAAGTTGTTGACTGCAAAGGCCATGTTTCCCATTATGTGCTGTGAAACAGCTCAGTGCATGTTTATTTGAAAAAAAAAAAAAAAAAGACTGGGGACTTGTACAGGTGTAACTAGTTATGTGCTCAAGAAGTGCCATGTTAGGGCTTTTTATTTCTATTATTTAACCGATATTCTATAGTAAATGTACACTCCATAGATAAAATAAGTCATTGAAGTCATTGAGATGAGTAAAGGCATTATAGCTCATTTTTGTTATACATTACTCGAAGTGGATACTTAAATCTCAAGAGTTATAATAAAGGCTCTGTCTACCTGGCAGTGAGCATAAAGTGCTTATGTAAGTTAGAATAGTTTACTGTCTCTAGTAATATGGTCCAACTGAAATCTGACTCACTGAAAACTGATCTTGGTCTGAAAATCATCAGATCACATTACAAATGCCTTTTATTTAATGTTATTGCTGTACTGATGTGACAAAACCTGTTCTTATGTGTGGGTCTTTTCGCCTTTTGATTGTCTTTTCCTTTTTCAATTCCAGAAAATCATTACAAAGAGAATTTGAGGGAGAGTCTAAGGGACATGAATCTCCATCAGACCTGAAAGCTCAACTTGAAAGTCTAGAAAAAGATCTCTCATTTTTAATGAAATTTACTGGTATTCAGTTTACAAGTCATTCCAAGAAAACAGTGGAAAAAAGTAAGCATTTTTGTGCCCTTACTGGTGCTATAGTGAATATACTGTTACAGTTCATTACATTTGCAAATGCATGTTGTAATTCTACTTTAAATGTTAGCACCAAGACAATTATTTTGAGTTACAATAGAAGTTTCTTTATTGACAAAATACTTTCTGAGTGAATGTAGTATTTTGCATAGTGGGAAGTGAAAGACTACCGTAAAGTTAGTTGTGGGTTTTGGTTTTTTTTTAACATGTTCACCTTGACTTCGTTATTTATGTGATGGAAGGTATCAGTTGGTACTTTAAATATGACTAATGGAAGAAATACAATAATTGTTGAATAGAATTATAATCGGGTATTTTGTTTCATTTTGATTTATAACAGCTAGAAGCAGAACAGTGCAGAAGCACAGATTATCAGGGAATTGCCACTCCCTGTCTTTTCAATTGGAATTCCAGCTTCTTGAAATGCAGGTAAGGATCAATATATGTTTTTTTAAAAAACAAATAACCAAGGAAACAAACAAAGCTTCAGTTGGACAAATGTCGATACTCCCTTTTCCAGTTGAAACCCTCAACTGGTATTTTGTCATTTTGATTGCCCCAGCCTCCTTAAGCTGAGGCTTAGTGGGTTATTTTCACTCTATAACAGCTGGACCTGACTCCTGAATTCCATGCACATCCAGGCAAAGTAGTTCTGCAGAGCAAGTTCAACATTCAGTCACAACATTTTTATCGAGTTCTTCTATAATCAGATATCTTGTTCTGGAGACTGGAAATTTCTGAACCTTACCTCTCTTGAGGGAACTGAGGAAAAGCGGAAACACTACAAACTTGAACAGTTGTGGTTTTTTTACTTTGGTTATATTTCTATTTGCTTGGCTAGTGTGACTAGCCATTACATCACAGGACTGCACAGAAGTTACACTAGTGATTACAGATTTTATGCAAGGAAGCTCTTTCATAATCTATTCTTAGCACGGAATTAAAAAATGCTAAGCATTGGAAAACAGTTGCTACCATGATTTGTAATAATGTCAAAAATGTCAGGAAATCTCCTTCTGAAGAAAACTTGATTTTCAGCTCAGCTTTAGAAGGTATTTTTTAAATTGAACATGATTGAACCTGATAGCAGTAAAAACTGCATTACTGTAGAATCATGGAATCTTTATGGCTGGAAAAGACCTTTAAGTCCAACCATTATCTAATTCTACCTGGCCCAATTCTAAACCATGTCCCTGAGCACCATATCTAGATGACTTTTAAATACATCCAAGGATGGTGATTCAACCACTTCCCGCGGCAACCTGTTCCAGTCTTTGATAACCCTTTCAGTGTAGAAGTTCTTCCTAATGTCTGTGCTAAACCTTCCCTGGCACAACTTGACACCATTTCCTCTTGGCCTATCAGTTGTGACTTGTGAGAAGAGACCAGATGTAAAGATGTCCTTCCTAATCTTAAGACATGTATGAATTTAGGAAATTAGTATTTAGATAGTCACATGTGGATTGCTTCACTTGAAACTGCATGAGTTCAGCTGAATGAGGTTATTCTGCAACCTCCAAAGTCCACGCATGACTTGAAACTTGTTCTAGTGATACCATTTTACCACTTGCTTGGATAAAACTGCATTTAGCGTTGAGCATGGAAATAGCCTGCATCAATCATGCGACTTGGTTAGATTAATGTTTATTTCTTAGTGGAGCTCAGATGAGTGACTGGATGTTTATTTAGAGCTGCCGTGGTGACGCTTAAATCTATTACACCACTAGGTGGCAGCGCGTGTCTATTAATGCCTAAAACCTGTACTACTTCAGCGCTGATGAAATACACTAAAGTGATATATAGACTACCAAGTGTATATATTTAAAAAGAATATTAAATATTTGTAACATATTTATTAGAATATGCAATAGAATAATATATTATATTGTAATGTGCTATAATAACGTACTATAAACATATAAATATATATTGTAAATAGAAAGATAAAAATAGAAAACCCCAAGAATTAATTTTTAAAATAAAAGTACATGGCACCTTCAACTTACAATTTAATATGCAATTATATGATTAAAAAATTATTCTCTTCCATTTCCTTGTAATGTAAAAGCATATCTCATGACTACACTGTTAGCGATTCCATTCAGACATTTTGCCTGGTTCTGGTTGATTGTTTCTATGGTGTAAAAGTAGTGGCATGTTATCTTGGTTTTGCCACAGACTTTGTATAGCGTGCAGGTCATCCTACAGGGAAGTCAGTAGGTCCTCTGTGGATGCAGGAGTCCGCCTCTATAGCTCTCAGGAAAGTTGTGCCTTCAGGCCAGACTAAGACCTGAGAACTTAGCTTTAACCTTTTTATGACTCTGGCTTCTTGCGTATTAAAATGGAGAAGCCTGATCTCTAAGATATGGCTTTAACAGTTGTAGTCAAAATAACCTGTACTGAGGTCAGTGTGGGTAAGATAGTGTAAAGTTGCAACTAGTTTCACCCATCTCAAGGAATAAAAGATGGCAGCTGTTTTTGGGAAATGCTTAGGAGGTAACAAATACGCAGTAGAAGATAAAGAATAATTTTACACATTGATAACTAGCTATTTAAACTAGTAGTTAAGTTACAGTACTGTTAAGTCAGTTCATAGTACCTTAAATCAAACACGTTAACGCACAGTAAAAAATTGTTCTTGTAACTACCCCTAATTTGAATGACATTGAATGTTTTGTTTAAAAGCTGTATTCCATGATACAGTTGTACAAAGAAGTATAGGCAGATCTGCATTTACTCTGACTAGCTTTGAATGGTCGAGAGGATGTCTGGTTTACTGCAATATTTGTCACTCACTGCCCGGCGTATTCTGCATCTTAGCTGGTTCTTTAATTTTGGCATGGCATCAGACTAGAGTATAGCTTATATTCCCAAGATGACTAGTGTTTTGTCAGCTTTGAGTGCAAGCAAAGAAGCTCCCCTCTGTTTACCACTTTGCCTAGATGGATGCTTACAAAGGTCAAAATGTGCACGAAACCTTTTATTTGACACTAAAATGGCATTTTAGCATATATTAGTAAACCACTTACTGGAAAACCAGTTTCTTTAAAAGGTAGCATGTTAGCTTGTGACTACTAGCAGCTTCTCTACAATTCCATGTACATGTTGAACCTTTTGCTCTAAATTTAAGATGATTTCTCCTGATGTCACTTGTTCAATCCACTAAACTTTGTAGTGTCTTGGTTTGCTTTTTCCATCTTTACTGATGGCAGTGTTAGCAGTACTTCTGTCCAACCAGTGCTAGGGATTGCTGTGATATGTTTGCATTTGATTTCAGCATGTCTGTTTACTTTCCTCTGTGTTGCCATTCTGATTTGCTTGTAGTGACTGAGTATAAAAAAATAAAGTACAAAGTCTCCAGTATGAAGCGAAGCATTTGCTATGGTCTTCAAGCCATGATTTTAAGCTTTTTCATTCAATGTTATCTAACCTATTACTCTGGTGTGTTCAAGAATGAGTACAAAAAGTAATTATTTTCTTTTGTGGCTTAATTTCTACTATATGAACTTTCCTTTCTTTTTTTTTAACAGGTGGTTAGATATTTTTTTGGAAACATTTGATTTTTATTATCATGCACATATCCCTTAGTAACAGTTATTATTGTAAAAAGGGACAAGAATTTCAGGCAAAACTATAGGCTATAAAATAAAATGAAATCTAACAGGATTTTTTTTTTTAACTTAGGGTAGCATTATTATGATTTTCAGATCAAACCTTATATTTGAGTTTTCTGGTATAAGTGGTAGCTAGGGGTTGTGTTGGAAAATGAGAAGAATTTTAAAGAAGTGGAAGTGACAAATTTGGAAACATTTGATTTTTATTATCATGCACATATCCCTTAGTAACAGTTATTATTGTAAAAAGGGACAAGAATTTCAGGCAAAACTATAGGCTATAAAATAAAATGAAATCTAACAGGATTTTTTTTTTTAACTTAGGGTAGCATTATTATGATTTTCAGATCAAACCTTATATTTGAGTTTTCTGGTATAAGTGGTAGCTAGGGGTTGTGTTGGAAAATGAGAAGAATTTTAAAGAAGTGGAAGTGACATGAAAGGAAGTAAATGAACCTCTTATATGTATAAAGGAAGACTTATAAATATGTTCTCTGTGCTGACTAGTTCAGGTATTATTCCAAAAGCCTTGCTGTATGGATACTACTGATACTGTTGAAATGGAAGAAAATATCCACACCTATAATCTGTAGTTTAAAAAAATGGTGTTTTAAGGATTATAGTACTTAGCAGCATTTGCATAATTTTTGTCTACTTTGTATGCAAATAGATACATTTTTTTCTTCTTGCTAGAGAAATTTCTAAAACATTGCGTTGTTACTTCTCCAATCTAGAACAAAGAGAGTGTGTCTGCTGCTATTACTGATCTCAGCATTATAATGAAATCTGGAGAAGATTCAGATATGAGAAAGCTTGTTTCAAGGTAAGGTGAAGGTTTTTTGAGGAAAGTTGTAGTATGGGATATCTAATACTAAATGCAATGCTGAGTTTTCATGTAAATTGCTGGCAGTCAATTTCTTTGTTTGGTAACATACTGCTAGCCCAACCTAAACAATTCTGATCCCTTGTCTGTATCATTTTGGAGAGATAGTGAAATGCATGTAGTTTTTAAGACCTGAAAGGACCATTACAAATTCATGTTAAACAGAAACAGGTTGTGGATTATAATGTGTTTTAGCTGTTTGAAATTGGTTGGTTCAGAGAAAGATATAGCAAGGTCATCTCAGCTATTGCATTTTAGTTTATATAATGAACATGTTAACTGTTACTCAGATGTGTATGTGAGTTACAGATGTGCAACGTAAGCAAGTAATGGCTAAAGTGTACATACAGAGCCCCTCTCCAGTACTTGCCTGTTTCTAATTGTCTGCTCACCATTCCATTAATCTTCTTTGTGTCGGGATTTCTTTTCACAGTAAAACATAGTTTAAAAACTTGGAATAGTGTATTTGTGCAATGGCTTAGGAAAATGTACATACTTAAGCATATGTCTGAATGATACTTTTTGATAATTTTCTAGAGGATGTCAACTTGTGGTACACAGGATGAATAATGATCAAATTATTTGTCTGCGATATTCCACTGTGAAATCTGCTAGCAAACTATTCTGAGAACAAATCTGCTATTTATTAATTATTATTGGGTAGATGACCTAATCTTAATCCTGTTCTTTAAGTGATTTCTTTTATTTTATATTGTTTTTTAGACTCCGGGAGGGAGAGTGAAAGCAAATGGATGAGTACAAACAAAGGTCTATTGAGTTACCTCAGGCTTCATTAGTCTGTACTGAAAGCTGAATTTTTCATTTAGAGGCTTTGGAATTTCCATATAAATCTATTAAAGCTAGTGGTATACGAGAATAGTAGTCGACTGCTCTCAAGAAGCAGGATTTAGAAGAGGAAATTGCTCTGTTTTTTTCATGAGTATTTTCTGACAGCAGAAGTGTCTTGGAACTTAAAAGTCATACTGGAAAGGAATGCGTTGAAGTAGTGGCAGACTTTATTTCATCCTGGCTTGAGCGCTGCTGTCTTGTCCCTGTCTCTTCACTATGCTGGTCCTTTTCCACACTGCACCAGTATTCATAAGTAAACATTAGTTTTCATGAATGATTTAAGATGAATTAAGGCTTTGCTGTCAATGAAGCAAGTAGCTCTTTCTCCTTAGCCTCTATTTGCATCTACCATCTGTTGTCCTTATGTCAGTGTATATACTGTTGAAGCCATGTGGAAAATAGGTTCAACATAGCTATTTGGTTGAAAAAGTAATTTGGGGGGGAACCTAACCTTGCCCCTCTCCATCCCACAACCCCTTCAAATTTCGTTTTTTCTATTTGACTTGTCCTGCAACATCACAGTGTTTGTTGCTCATCTAAGGCAGTAAGTGTGTTGCCAGAGTGGGGGGCTGATGTTGGCAATGTCTGTTTTGACAGCAACCCACTGTTAGATTGACTTAATCTGATTATGTGATCTCCCTTTGTGGCTTGTTTTCTCAATCCTCTTATTAAGCTAGTTCTCGTTTCTTACTCTAAATCTTAATCCCCTCTTTTCATGTCCAATTTCAGGCTTCTCCCAACTAGCCCTTTATTCTTCAGTACCCCAGCTGCTCTTTGAATCTTTATTCCTACCTCTTCCCTCTCTTTGCCTCCATTATTGACCAGCTAAATCTGGTCTCCCTCTGTATTGTCCGTTCTTTTCAGCCTCCCTACCAGTTTGTTTCCTTCTTTTGCTTCCTTTGCCCAGTCTTGCCAAATCCATTGTCTAGCTCTGTTCTGGTTTATCTGCTGGCCTGGATTTTTTCCTCCTCAGTTTTCTAATTTTTTTGGCTTCATTCTTCGTAATGCATGACAGAAAAGGGTCTTTAAAGCATCAGAGTTAAAAACTTGGCATTCAGTTGTAATTCCCAAGCCCATCCTGCTTTGGAAGAAAACAATGGAATGCTAGAACACTTGAGCAACATCTTTTTAAAAGAAGCAAAATTCAGCAGTGTGTTTTCAACCAGGTACTGCTGCAATATATAATACCTATTTTTAAATATGTTGTGACAATAATGTATCTATGCAAATAGAATTGTGGGAAACATGCTTACCATATTGAATTTTAGTCAGGGCAAATTCGATGGAGCAAAGAATATTTATTACAGCACTGGGAGTTACACAGGGGATTTCTCTTCCCGTGGCTCGTTTTCCCCTTTACAAACGCTTGTTTTTATTTCGTATTCCTTATGCTTATTCATGTTTTTTCTTTGAAAATAACTCACATAATCAATGAGTTTTTGGAACGCAACCCACCCCCAATTACATAATCAATGAGTTCTTGGAATGCAACCCACCCCCAAACATGCCCCCTCTTTTCTAGTGGCACAGGCGATATGCTTCCTCAGGGGTCTTCCTGGTGGTCATCGGAGGGAGGCTCTAAGTCTTTATCACAATGTCCTTCTTGTGGCTTCTTTATTCTTTACACTTCTGTGGTTACCTTAGCTAACTACACCACCTTTTTTTTTGCAGTGGTTCGGTACTTCCAACTGTTGCTTTCGTCTGATACCTTATCTGATGCTATCCCTTTTTCAAATGCATTGCAAGCACACAGCTATCTTAACTGAAGCCATAGCAAGCACACATCCATTTTAGATGAAGCAAAATTCTTTTGCTAAATTACTTATTACAGAATCATCATATTTAGTCTTCTGTTTTGGGATTTTACTTGAGTCCCCTTTGCACCAGTTATCACTTATGTTATACTTTGTTAGTGTTGAGGACCACAATACCTATGAAAAATCTCGTTGTCAGTCTTTTTTTTTTCTTCTTCTTTTTTTGACTTGATATCATGTTAATTTCTGAGTTAACTATTGCATGGATTACTTAGTCAAATAGAAGTATTTAAACAGTTTGAAAACCGAATTTATAAGTCAGAGTGAAGCATTTAGGAACTGTCTGCATTATATTGAACACTGCACGGGTGAGGTATCTTGGAAATGAGGCGAAGTGTGAATTCTTCCCACATCTGTAAGTGTCATTGTTTGGTTTTATATGCTAATGCAAGAAGTCTTGCATACTGTAGTGGGTTAAAATAGATTTCCTCTCTTAAAATAACTAAAGGAATGTATTAAAGGAGCCTTAAATACTTTTACAACAGTTAAGTTTCTTATACATTTGTGTTTTGTTGATGATATTTTGTAAAAGTGAAGGGTGTTTGGTCGAAGGGTATGTGATTTTAACCTGATACAGAGTTGCTCTCTGCCTGAATATGCTTTTTGCTGTTTTTGGATGACTTCTCTGTTACATGGATGTTGGCTTTGGAGATGGATGTTTTCTGTTCCTAGTGGATTTTTTTTTTTTTTTTAACTGGTGACATTTTGTAATGCTAAATTCTTTCCAGAAAAAAAGAGGCTTAAATTTTTACATGCTCTCTCTTAGTACCTTGTTATTTTATACCAAGTTTTCTTGGTATTTTAGAATTTGTTGTAGTTGGCTTCAGCATTAGGAATTAGGCTAGCTTAGGCTAACTAGCTATTATTGTTTATAGGTAGTTTAAGTGCTGTGAGACAGTTAACTGAAATGGTGCTCTTGCGCTCTCTCTTTCTCCCTTGCCAATACACAAAGCCACATATATTATATATGTCCATTCTTGCCAACACAGATTTCCCCCCTTTCTAAACACTGAAAGCAGTATTCTATCTTCCACCTAGCTAACTCTGTATCAGTCCATGAGAGAAGTATATACTTAGATATAATTGGTAGACTAACTTTTTTATATTTGAAACTGGTTCTTTGAACTTGTTAGCCAAAACTATCTTTTTTTGCTTGGTGGTTTAGCCTTGAAAATTTTCGTCTGCTATATTGCCTAAAGCTGAATCTGAGAGGAAAAAAGAAATAAAAGCAAACTAAACACATAATGCTAAAAACAAGGTCACAAGGTTTGTGATAGTCTTTTAAATTGCATAAAAGTGGATACTCATCAAAATTGCCAAGTTTTTTAAAAAGAATTTTAAGTATGTAGTTTTGTTACAAAGTTTTGTGTTGCTGCCTTCCATGTATGTAGATTTAAAAAGTATGTTGCAGTGTGCATAGAATCATGCTCCCTATTCAGTGAGATGTGGGCAGTCATTACTAAGTCTCAATTTTTACTATGGTGTGTGTAGATTTTTATATGTACATATGAGTTGTGCTTAAAAAAAGCTGTCCAGCTTTTTTTCTGACATAGAGCTAGTCAGCTGTTGTAAATCAGTATGTGTCTACGTCTTTCCAGGGACTCAATTTTGCTTGTGCTGCCAGTGTTTTTTTCATCTTGGCCTGATTTTGTTGGCAGCTGTGACTACTGTGGTAACTTCCTTTAATGATTGTTTCTTTCCAGCCTGTTCTTTCCAGCCTAGGATAAAACTTGTTTGGCTTTTCTTTTACATTTTCAATATCTGAATGAACTTCATCTATTTTTTCCAGTTTATGTTTGTGTAACATGTTAAGAGTTGCCATTCCTGTATATTAAATAGAGCTGGATCAGAGGCACAGTTCTCCTTTGAATGGCTGAAGTGACTTGGTAATAACATTGTTGCAACCATTCTGTTAAGCGCTTCAAGTTTCAGTTCTCGGCTGTTCTGAAAATCCAGAAAGAATAGCTTATGTCAAACGGAAAGGATGTTAAAAGTCAAATTTACATGTAGAATTTAAATCCTCTGTAACTTTTGAAATATTCCCAAATGTAAGTCAGGTATCTTCCTTAGTTGGGTTTTGTTCACTTGTAAAATCCTATACCAGTAATTGAAATAAATCTTTGAACAGGCTGCCCAGAGAAGCTGTGGCCTTATCCCTGGAGGTGTTCAAGGCCGGGCTGGATGGCGCTTTGAGCAACCTGGTCTAGTGGGAGATGTCCCTGCCCATAGCAGGGGGGGTGGAACTAGGTGATCTTTAAGGTCCTTTTCGACTCTAACCATTCTATGGTTCTATGATTTTTAAAGCAACGCTTGCCAGGTATCTTTTTACAATGGATAATAGTCTGTTTCATTTGACTGTGGCTTCATATCAACAATGGCGTGAAGCTGTTCACCCTTATGATAAAAAGAATCATGTTCCTTTGGGTATTCTGACACTTGGCTTTTGTGGAATTTTGCATTCTTGCCACATTTCTTTAGTAAAAACTGCACACGCTTTACAAGTGTTTTTCCTCCCTCCCCCTTATAACACTGGATGGATGGTTGGTTGGTTATTTGGCAGTTCCTGTCATCTTATATTGTCTCCTTTCCTTTCTCTATCCTGATCCTTACATTACTAAAAATATGAAGAATAAATATTTTTTTTCTGTTGTGTTTTTCTTATTAAAAAAAACCCTCCAAGACCAAACTCTTCTCCCCCCCCAAACCAGCTCCTCACCTATTTTCTCTAATCTGTCTTTAAAACAATTAACGCTCCTAACAGAGAATGGACTATCTTTCCTCTTTTGATTAAAGCTGAGGAGCTGTATAGATGCATTAATGGTTGCTGTCGCTATGGTGCTAACAATAAAGAGGCTAAGGTCTGTTCAGTTCCTGATTTCTACAAACTCTCTACTTCTGTGATGATACGTGTCTTAAATGAATAGATCTCTTAATTCAAATAGTTCTAATCCTAATTGTTCTAAGAGAGATTTTTGCATGTTACTGATTTCCAGTACCTTGGCTTCCTTTCTTCTATTGTTGCTTGCCTTCCCAGACTGTCTCAGAGTGGATGTAATGGTGTACTTATATTAAAAAAAAAAAAAAAAGTTTTGCTTGCATACAGCATAGTTAACATACAAACTAACACGGTGTTGCTTGGAGGACAAAATAGTAAATGTATAATGAAAGAAAGTAACTTTAGTCCCAGTTACTGAAGTAGAAAAGCATATTGCTTATTTTTGCTAGCAAATTTCTTTTGTAAACCAAATTTCATGATGTAAGGGAGTGTACCAGCCCCAGTGTTTGATGCATTGCAACTTCTCTTGCATGAGAAATCATTACTACCTTGTAGACTGATGAAAAATAACAGTGATATTTCTCAGTCCAAGTTAATATGGTGTGTTACTCTTCAGTGTTAGTCTGATGTTTGGCTATCATATTCAATAGGAGTTACCATCTCTGCATATCACAAGCAGCTTCTATTTTCCAAACTGTGTGTATTTTTCCCCATCTGCAAGAATGGATAGTCAGTCAGCCATGTAGCTTTCCTTGATTCTGTACTTTATGCAGTGTTTGGAACTTCTTTGGAAATTACTCCAGCAATATTTTCATATATATTTTTCAAAATGTTTGTTGCTTCTTTGGAAGTCAGAGCTTCTGTTTGATTCTTTAGGTACTGTGAATATTTAATTTTGAAATTATAGTGAAGCCTAAATGATTTAGCTTTTGTGTGTGTGAAACAAGTACATGTAGGAAAAAAACTTCCTTATGTTCTAAGTGCAAAATCTGTTTGTATTTTCCCTGTGTTGCTTGTATTTTTAACTGGACTTAAGCACCAAAGTCCTGGAATTGTAATCTCATTAAGTTTAGCTGGCACTGTGTATTGCTGCCTCTGTTAACTATTGTCAGTGGAAATGGAAAAATATTACTATACTAAGCATGGAATGGTTGTACATAAGCATTTTTACTTGATGCTGTTTGACTACTCTGAAACTGGCAAAGCAAAAGTATAGCAACTTTTATTTGTCTCTTACGCTTTGTCTCTTGTATTGAAAATTCTGCAGAATTTTCACAGAGTAAAATGACTACTACTGACCTTTCTGTTTTCAGAGGCACTATGGATGAAAAATAGTGTTTGCAATAACATTGCAATTTAAGGATTTCCTCGCCAGAATAGCACTGATATGTTAAGTCTCATGATGTAGGCTGTAAGCTCTACCAAATCCATACTGGCCAAAGCGCAAGTCCTGCAAAGGTGTCCCTGCACTGCTCTTTGCAGGACATCAGGTTCCAAGACAATTTATTAGTGCAAGTGTAGCATTGTTTGAATGAACGCATAACGTACCCGTGTGTAGCTGAACTGCTAAATCACGAGGGAGCCCTAAATGCAGAAATACTGAGGGGCTTTCTGCAAGAATCAGCTCGGCTCTATCCAGGCTTGTTGATTTCTGTTTACAATGGGCTTGGCACTAAGATAGCTGCACTACGCTTCTCAGTTACAGATTTATCGGTCTCTCTCTCCCTGATCCTGCCCCACTCTCTAATTAATGAGACTATCACTGTCTTCCTTAATAGCAGATAAATCAAGTTTTAACTGTATATCAAAAGGTTATTTTAGATGCAATGTATGATCTAACGAATAGGCCTTCTTGCTTACTGAAATTTCAAGGTTAATCTTGAAAAGCTGTATGTCGTGTGGGCAGAGGCAGATAACGTGTCGTGTAAAGATTTAGTTGAATAGGACAAAGATCTTGAGAATATTCAAAGCTCAGTGATGCAATTTGGTAAATCATACCAGTTTTGTAGGTTAAAGTTTTATTATGCAACATCTTGGAATTTATTTAGAAAACAAGAGTATTAGATGAACAAGCATAAAGTCAAATTAAGACTTTACAGGTGACTTTTGTCAAGTTGTCACATTTTATATTTTAGACTAACTTCATTGCTGCTTGCCTTCCTGAGGAGTTGGAAACACTGGTTTATAAATGAATTCCTCAATTTTTTTCAATGTCTATGCTACAGCTTTTTTTCCTGTTGTGGCTTTTTTTAGTGTTTGTCATTTCTGGCCTCAAATTCAAACAATACTAATCACAAATTCCTTAAGGAAAAAGTGTGAATTCTAGGCTATAGAATCAGTATGTCTGACTAGTACTGTTTAGGTTAAACAATATATTTTTCTTTTGTAGCACTGAAGAACATGGAAATCTTTTAACATTTTTCAGAAGCCTTTCATCTTATGCCGAGTGGTGTGAACATCGTAGATGCACTTTCCTGCATTTCAAGGTAGTGTCTATCAAGCTTTTATATATCAGTATTCTATTTAGTTCTTTAAGTAGCTCATTAAGACAGAGCGACGGAGGTGAAATTAGAACTCTTTAGTGGAGTATGGGAATCTTAATTTTGTATGTTATGGAGAAGAGAATGTCCTTGCTTGGTATTTGTCTTGATTTTTACCATGTTGTTGATGTGTTCCTCATACGTGGGGGAAAATAAGACTGACTATGCCTTTCTGTGGGGGAGTAAGACAGTTTTTCATTGGTATTACATTTCATTTTGAAACAAAAAAAAGGTGAAAGAAGAAATTAAAAGAAAATAACATTTGTAGTCTTTGGCATTTAAATGTTAGTTCTGAAGGACTGGATCTGTCTTTTGAAAATTTGGCAGCATGGGTTTGAGTGACAGTACTTTCAGTTCTGAAGTGTTTTACTTGAATGGGAAATGAACTGTTCCCCACTCTTGACTGGAACATAGTATTTGAACTTAGTTTTAAATTACCGTTATTTGGCTTGTTTGCTTTGTCTTTAATGGTTTTAAGATAAACAACTAATCCTTGGAGTAAAAATACTGCAGTTGTACAGACACAGAACATCTGATACGATGCTTAATGTTAGAGGACGATGTTTAGGAGCTTAAATGTGTGTGGGTTTTTTAGTTCTGTTTAATTTAGCTCAAGCATTTACTGTCATTAAACTCAGCACCATCTTTACTTTTCAGCTGTAGTATGAACTGCTTTGTTTCTTATCTTTTTTTTTAATCTTTTAGGCCTGAGTTCTGTGCTAGATTAATCAATTTCTATTATCAAATCAACCAGCTTAATTAAAAAAAATTAGTAATTTCTGATGTTAAAAAAATATAAAAAATCCTGTCCTCAGCTGAGTATTAAACTGATGTTGTCTAATCCCGCTGGTTTTTGTATAAGGACTTTTCTTTAATCCCTCCATAGAGAAGGTAGAGCACCAAGGGCTTTATGGCTTTGTGGTATAGTTTTTTGATCGTTTTTTTCCAGCTTCACTTGATGCTTTCTTATCATTAGATCAGCCTCGTGCCAGCAGTCACTGTGGTTTCTGTGACAGTGATTCAGTGAACTGTTGTAAATATTTCTCATTTTAAAATTCAGTACAAAAATGAAAAAATAGAATGGAGATAGGCCTGGAGATTATTTTTTAATTGTCGTGTGTGTATTATGCAGTTTTAAAAAGTATTTGTTCAGACATTGAGTGTAAACAATGAAGGGATATATTCATTGCTAAAAGATATGTGAAGATGAATCTTCTGAAGACATATTACAAGCTTGTCAATATTGCAGATATTCTTTTTTGGGAGAGTATTTGTCAAGTACGATTGGCTCAGTCCTTATGAGGAGTTTTTTAGGCCTCCTTATTTCTCCTAGCATTGGTAACGATTTCATTTAGAAATAGAAGTCTTTCTGAGGTAAGAGAATTAATAAGGGGTTCAAAGATCAAATCTGACAATTCAGATAACCAAATTGCGAAGGAGAATGTCTATTTGCGACTTAATATTCTGTAGTAATTTGTGTGCAAGTGACTAGAAGTATGCTTTTAACGTATGCATAAAAACAACTGAAGAGTCTTATCCTGTTGATATTCACACTTGGACAACATTTAAAAATGAGTTTGTTGTCTTTGGGTGGTTTTTTTTTTCTACCTGCTTGATAGACTTCAAGTATATAGGCAGGCAACTGTGCACAGTATTGGAGAGAAGACTATTTGGGGTGGAGTTTTGTGTTTATAGCTTTTCTATTATTTTGTTATTTAAAAGAAAATTAGCCAGGCTGTTAAGTAGAAGTAGACAGTGCTTCTAATAGTTTTCTCACAGTGTAGCCTAAAAACAGGAAAAGTAGATTATTTTTCTTTTCTGTTAGTTTTGGTACTTGAGAAGAAAGGAATAATGTAGAAGTGATTGAATACTTCAAATCATAATGAATGTTTAAGATAAATGACAATTGCAAGTTTCAGGCAAAGTTGGTCAGCACTGTATTTCTAAAAAGTTGACCATCAAAAGTAGCAGTTTTGTAGTGAGAGTCTTCCCCATTAACAAGACAAATGGCAGGATGGATAACTTAGATTAAGCAAAAAAGCAATTTAAAATATGCATTGATTTGACTGTAAACAGCCTTTCCTAGAAAGAAGGGGCAGTTTTAGGTTGGTGTAAGTAGACCAATGTTCAGCTGTAAGTGTTTTGTGTTCTGCATTATATACTCCCTGATGTTGTGCTTCAGCAGTTGAGGTTTTTTACTGAAACAGGTTAGTCTACAACTTGCATGCTCCGCACATACACACAATCAAGACTTCAGCATACTGTTACTACCCTCTGCTGCTGCTCCTCTATTCTACTGATAAAATCTACAAGGTAGTGCTTTAAGTAGATTTTGAAGGGGTGAGGGAGGTGTCCCACAAGTCTTTTGTATGGCATTACTTGTATGGCAGGTCTTACTGTATTGCCACAATAAATATTATGTCTGCAAAATGGATTTACATGTGCAAATAATTTTCTGATGTAGAGGCACCCTCAGTCTGCTATGAGGCTGAACAACTGAAGCATGTTGGCATTGCTGGAAGAGCAGATTGTTGAAGCTGATACTGATAAACAAGGAAAAAAATTTTCAAGTTTTATTGGAAATACAGAACAGGAATGATTGATAGGAAAAAAAAATAGAATGGTGTACATTCAGTTTGATATTAGTATTGGTCACACAAATAGAAGGCAAAAAATCCTGCACACTGAAGCCCTTCTCACTTAATGTTTCGATGAGTTAACTTGCTGTGAATGGGGAAAGTAAATTAAAACATATCAGATAATTTATTGCCTGCATGAGGCATTCAGAAGGTACCAGTTGTCTACTTTGGTTTGCTCACAAAATACTAAGACCGTTAATTAGTATAACTGTTGATATTTACTACTTTTTAAAAAATATGTACAACATTTTAATGTAAAATTAATAATGTGGTAGTGGTTGGGTCTTAGAATGTTTACATGTGTTTATATATTACATAAATGTGCATATATTTGTGTATACACATATAATTTTTTTCATAGGAAGAGTTTTGGTGACATTTACTGATCCTATTAATACTGGAAAGAGCTTTATTTGGTAATAATGATTTGTGATGAGAATAAGATCAGTGGCCACTGCTTATGTAACATTATTATACTTAAACTTCTAGCTGTGTTTTCTCCATCTTAGGCATTTATCAAAAGAGGGATGAGGGAACTGGTGGCTTTTATTTTTTCCTTGTATAAATTTTGCTTGACGTTGGAATGTATTTTTACATGCTTTGGGGTTTTTTTTTATACCTTTTGCTAAAAATCTGGAAACATCAAAATTTTATGACTTACACAGGAAAATGAAAACTAAGTATTATTCTCACTGTTGGACTTGATTTTGTTCTCAGTTGTATTAAGACAATGGAATTTGTTTCTTGTTATACCAAATAACTTAAAATGGAAAATATGGGGGAATGCTGTGTTTTTCTTTGGTAATGGGTTCAAGGCAAAAATGTTTGTGTCCCGCATTTCATAACTGCATCCTCTTTCCAGGAATATGAGCCCGCAGTAGATTCTTGACATAGTTACTTAAGAAATGACTGAAATTCTCTTAGGTCTCAACACTCTTAGTGGCAGAGCATCAGTACATTCAGAATCAAGTGTGCACTTAATTCCCCACAGCACAAGCACTAACAAATCAAGGCTTAGCTAAATAAGATAAACAAAACTAATACAAAATATCTTGTAAAATCAGTATTTTAGTGATATATAATCATGCATTTGATGCTTAACTATTTCTACAAATTAGAAAGCTATACTAGCTTCAAAATTAGTACAAAGTACCACACTTTTGGCATTCATTTATAGGAAGATTTTACACCTGCAGTAGGTATTTGAGGGGAGAAACTGAAAATGAATGTCAGAAATGTATAGTTGTGTAATTAAAAACATTGTATTCTGTTTCAATTATGTCTAGTTTTAGATGAACTGACTGTTGAGGACTGCACACATTGATTTGTGTTTTTAATACACTGTGGTTTAAAGTAGAGTGAAATGATGCTTGAAGTAAATGCTTTTAAAACTAATGATAGGATCAACCTTTCTTTTTAATTTAAAGATCTGATTTGTTTTTTTCCCCTAATGAGCAAAAGTATTGTTGTACAAGGGTAATTCTGTTTCTTTGCACTGACATCTAGCTGAAATCTTACTTATTTACAGGTAAAAACATTAATTTAGCTTTGCTGTTAATTATATTGTCACATTCCCTTGTAAAGAAAAAGCAGTGGAACAAGGCTTGGTCTGTATCATCTGTTAATAACAAAGATACTTGGAGTCATGCTATGCTGTACTTTGTTGTATTAAAATGGGAAGCTAGTGCTGCAAAAATGACTTGTGAGTACAGCTGAGCAAAATGTATATATTTCAATTAAAAATACCTTGTGTGAAAATAAAATACATGTATAACATATATACACATACTTTTGGATTTTTTGAAAGCAAAATGGTAGGAGATTTGAGAAGTACCATTTGCTATGTTACTTGGTACACTAAGCCTAAATAGGAATTATTCTCATTTTCCATACACCAAATTTTAAAGGAAGCTTTAATGAAGTTAAGCTTTGAGAAGTTCTATTTCTAAAGAGAACTTTCTTTTGTATGCAACTTCATCCAATACACTTTGAAGTCAACTGAAAATGTTTCATTTCAGATTAAAAAATTGGGATTGGAATTCAGATGTGGTTTTCCACTGTACCTTGCTCAAAGAATATTTTTCATTTATCCGAAGGTAAATTGTAGTGATTGTTCTGGGTATGGGTGAAGAATGCAAACAGCAATTACTTCTATGATTTTGCCTACACATAAAGAATATGTGGTGGTGAAGTAAAAGTTGAGAAGATATGTGTATGCATATGTGTATTTTACACTTTCATTAACAGAAAAGATTCTGAAAGCAAGGGTGACATTGCAACGACTAAATGAAGTGCCTGTTTTGAAATGGTTATTTCAGAGGAGAACCACATTTCAACATAGTAAAAGGTTCTGGAAAGGGAAAACGATGTTAGTAAAGGAGAGGATATAAACATGTAAGCAGAGGAAAAAGAATGATCTTTTGTTACCACGTTAAAGTTTTGGCATGTATAATTACGTAAGCAGTGGCTAGTAGTATGTTCCTACAGGCAGTGTTCTCAAGCAGGAAAAAGCATTAACGTGCTTTGCCAAGAGGATTGGATTGCCTTCCATCCTTATCTCATCCATTTGTGTGCGGATGTAACGTGTGTTATTAGATTTGCAGAATGTGTCATCGGTGATTGTAGTAATATTGTTGTACTGCAAAACAAAACATTTTTTTGTAAATAAAATAAACACACACATACATAAAAACACACCACACACATACAAACACACCCATATATGTTGAAGAATTTTCAAACTTTAATTTTATTTCTCTTACCCTCCCATTTTATTGGCATTGGGATTGATTTGTATATAATGTAGATATGTAGGAATCAAGTCTCTTGAAACCAATCGGTGAACTGATAAGCAATTTGAGGTTGTTATCGATGTTTGAAATGCATTGTTGATAAAAGATTATGGCTTATTTTTACCATTTCCTATCCTTGATATACAGAAACTCACAAGAAATTCTTCCATGGTAATTAGCTAAGAAGCACTTTCTAAACAGAGTGGTTGCGGCCATACAGATTAGAGGTAAATTGTTTTATTTGGAGGAGCATTAGGCAACTGTGGCACAACTGCAGTGTGAACTGTTTTAAAAGACAGTGGGTTTGGCTTGAAGTATGTAACTACTCTTCGTAATAGAATGTTAAGGAAATTAATCAAAAATACCTGAAGGTGAAGAATACGCAGACTTTCCGGTAAGTTAAGGGGAACAGATTCCAGTGCGTTATGTCCTAAGTAGAGGTAGGCCAAATTTGTCAACTTCTAATAAAAAGAGAGAGAGATTATTAATGCTGATATTACTTACTTGAGGTTAAGCAACTTCTGCCTGTTACAAGACATCAGTATTTTTTTTGATCACTTAGAAAGTGTGTAAAGTGATTTATCATGAAACCTTCTGCTGTGAATGTTTAATTCTATTGTATCAAGAAACTCGTAGAACAGGCCTTCTACGTTTCACAAATTTCAGTGTCAGCTTATTGATTATAAAACTTGAGATGACTATGAAGCTATATCCTTGTTTACTAGTATTTATGTAGTCCTCAGAACTGTAATTGAGACATCAATTTTGAATTGAGTTTTTCTTTGTGTGTAAGAGAGAAAGGAAGTAGGTAAGATATTTCATAGAAAAGTTTTTTTTATATACATGACGTGAGAAGTGTGAGTGTGCAAAGGACTACTATTCCAAAGTGCCTTAAAAACAAACCTGGAAAGCTTCTTCATCCTAGTTTGTTTCTTAGATTACAAAAATACAAAAAAACCGCGTTTGGTGGTATACTGGATATTCTGGTTACTAATTTTATTTACTTTAGTTATGTAAATTACTACCGTTTGGTGTTATACTGGATATTCTGGTATACTAATTTTATTTACTTTATTTACTTTATTTACTTTAGTTATGTAAATTACTGTCTTTTGCTTACCTTGAAAGCATTTGCTTTGATTCCTCTGCTCTTGATTCTATTTTGATTTGCATTAAATGTTGTTAGTTTGGGAGGTAGAACAGGAAGTTTTAGAAGTCGATTTTCAGCAAGAGAAAGTTCTTCCAATAACAGAAGCTTTGAAAAGGCTCCATCTTCTATTTCTTCTATCCTGTTTCCGCTAAAATCAATTCTTCTCAAGGTGGCTTTACACAAAAGAAATGAAAATCTAAGTATTGAATTTATAATCACATGGCATGTGAAATGTGTATGGTTGTGTATGTTAAATGTTGCACCTGTTGGCTGCAGCATCCTAGTTGTGATCTACAAATGCAAATACTATTAAATTATGAATAAAGTCTACATTTGGATTTCCTTATGGTCTTAAATTAAAAAAAAAAACAAAAACCAAAAAAAAAAAAAAAAAACCCAAAAAAAAAAAACCCCAAACAAAAAAAAAAAACCCCCCAAGAAGGAAAATACCCTGGATCCTTCCTTTTTTTTTTTTTTTTTTCTTAGAGACAACATGATTTCAGATATACATAGAATTTGTAATGTAGAGTGAGATAGCTGGGAGAGATGCCCCTGGAGCATTTGGAGGAAAAGTACTACCTGGTCATTTAAGACTGGATGGGATGCTGAGTTAAATTTTATTTTTAGCAAACTGCTGTTTCTCTGATTGTGATACATGGGCCACAATGGGTTTCCATATTGCCTTCACAGTGGTAATCTTGGCATACTTTTAAGGGACAACAACTTCAAATATACTATCAGGTAAACGGAAATTAAAAATTGAAGATTACTTACTAATGTCAGCAAAATCTGAGACTGCTATCCTTTTTATTTTGTTAAATCGTGCATAAAGATACGCTGTTTCCTTTGGCAGTGGGGGTACAGCTTCAATGTCTATTTCCTCACAGTACACTGATCCGCTTAAACACACACAGAGCAGGCAAGTAGGTAAATCTGAAAGCATATTGAGTAGACAGTTAAAAGTTATTCAATTAGCTTAAGCATGAATATGCAAAGTAGATTTTTCTCTAGTATCTTTTAAGATTTCTCATAATTAGTTTTCTTTAAATTGTGTTGACATTAAGTTCTGAAAATACGTAATATTCTGAACTTTGTTTTTATTCTTTCTTGAGCATAATTTCCATGTGTATATTCTCTGTTCTTATCTGAGCATGTCTTGAAATGCTATTAGTCGATCTTAATTCAGTTTCATTCCTTAGTTGGCTCAGAGTATTGTGCATATGACAACTGCAACTCTGGGCCATGTTGAATGTCATCTTTAGAACCATTCCTTTTAAAAGAAAAATCCATGCAGGAGAAACATCTGGCAGTGCACACATTGCACTGGAGCATTCTTGGCAGGGTCATGGATACTCTGTGTTACTCCTAGTTCCTATTTTGTCTAATCCTTTTTATAAAAACAATGGTGATTATATAAGTACTTTAGGCAATCAGTTTTTTACTGAAGGTTTTTTAAAGCTGTTATTTTAAGTAGTGAGAGAAACTCTATCTTTTTTTTTTTTTTTAATGCACTTTAAGCCCATTATGGCTTGTCCTGTCACTCATAGATATTAGTAGAGTATTAGTCATTTTTGCTTTGCATTAATCCTATATGACAGCAATATTAAAATAAATTTAACAAATATGGCTTTCAATCCAGTTTTGTCACTACTGCTATCTGATCTACTGTGTTTTCTATATTGTGAGATTTTTGGTTAGCTTCCAAATTGGTCTGTGTGTAGTAGAGAGTAGTATCACACGGCTAGGTAGTTTGTTATCTCTACGTGGTACAATAGGATCTTCTGCAACCAGTGACGAGTTATAGAAGTAGCCAGTAAATACTGGGAAGCCAACGCAGTATGTATAATAGAATTATTATTTTTTTCTTGCCGAGGTACTGTATATAATGGAATTGAGATTCTGAGCTTTAGCTTTCTGTATATTACTATTTGGTATCCTTTAGAGTTCTGCCCTGTTTGCCTTTTTTGATTTAGTGTCTTGTTTGTTTCATGCTAGTGTGTAGGGGATGAAATAGGATTGTGAAAAAAGTTGTCACTATTTAAAAGGCAACAGGTTTTGTGCTTGTCTGGGACTAGAAGCTCTGGTGTTCTTACAGATTTGCTCCGCTTTTGATGAGGGCTTGTTGACAGAAGCTATTTGGCAATAACTAACCTTGATTAAAACTTTGGTGGAGATTGACACTCTGGTGGTCTTGCTGAATCATCAGTTATTTTTGGAAGTTTAGATCACAGATACACACGAAATACGTGTGTCTTTTTTTTCAATGCTCTGCTTGGCAGAACAAAAACATTGTTTTGAGTTTAGAAATCACTGTGGCTTGTTAGGAGGTCTCCGGACAGTATACCTCAGAGCCTGTAGGAAACTTAGGCTAGCCAAGAATGTTCATGATGTATTTTAACTGTTGAACACTCTGGTCATCAGATGTAAACTGTGAGAAGAGCCAGTTCTTCAAAGAAATCTTTTTATCGTGTTTCATCATTACTTGGTTAAACTGTGGAACTTACTGAGGTGCGTATTTTGTTTTTCCTGGTTGTCTTGCCTAACTTATTGACTTGGGTACATCTGTACAGGAAATATGACTGAATAAGTCTGTAGAGATTCTTATAAGCTGTGGTTTGCATATTTGGCATTTACCTGAGTTTCTTTAAATTTTTTCAGCCTGCTCCATCAGAAGTTAGAAGACTTTCCACAGGAGATATGAAAGATATTCATAAATGAAAAGATTAATTCCATATCCGTTGTTATCCTCTGTATATTAAATTTTCATATTAAAATATGTTCTTTTGGAGACCTTAAATGTTACAATATTAATATCAATTAACTTACTTGTATCCTTTGTTGGTGGTACATTGCGTTCGCTGTCATCCCCTTGCAGTCTTAGGGAAGTGTCAAGAGAAACATTTGTTCCATCCTTTGTGTGAAAGCAAATATTATTTTAAAAAATAAGCAGTGAACAAAAAGCCAGAGTATTACAAGGTTCTGAAATAGCACGTTGTTTAAAATTGAGCTTCCTATTACATACTTCCATGTGACATTTAATTTCTAATTTTTAAAGTCACTTTAGTCATCCACTGTGTAAGAGTATATATAATCCGTCTTTACATGAGCTATTCACTTTGAAAGGCAAAAAGGGAAGGTGTTGCTGCTAGTGTTATTTGGAAAAGTAAAGTTCCTTAGGAGAAACAGTAGACACAAAATAAAAATAGAGAGAAAACATAGACTACTTATTGTGGAAGGAATATGTAAGCGATGGGTATCTAAAAAAAAAATAGTTCTGAAGTTAGATTTTGCATGTCATGCAATATTTGATAGGATTCTTGTGAATATAAGTTGTTGGGGTTTTTATCCAAATAATCTTAGTAAAATAAAATTTCTTTGTATTTTATATTATTCAGAATTCCCTCTTGAGATAGTCATTGCATCTTTTCAGTTGTAGGTCAACTTAGTTTATAAACATGTTCCTTTCAGGTATTGGCTGAAATTTAGCAGTTAATTTCCATTAGCTGCACTTAAGTCTGTTTTAAGACCTGGGCTGCTAACAGAAGGGGCCTTTTGTGGTGCAGGAAATGGCAGTCAGGTTCTCACTGAATACCATAGGAATTTTAGAGAGTTACATACTATTTCTAGAATTATAGTATACATACAGTGGGTTATACTATGATTTGCATGTATTAAAGTTAAGGGCATTTTTAGGTTGAGTGCGGCAATTGTGCTTGGTTAGCATCATTCCTTGTCTTTTTTGGTGGAGAATAGTTGTAGGACAGAGTAAGACAATACACTATTTGGTCTGTGTTGCTATTGAAAACACGTGGGGAAAAGTACATTATTGGGTGCGGAAGATGTTTTTCTTTAACGTGCTTAAGAATCAGGTCCTGCCAGGAGTACAGTCACCTGTTGAAGAGAGCTTCTTACACACTGTGAGTGCTCACAAGTGAACCAATTATTTTTTTTTCCCCATTTTTTTTAACACCGGCACCCCCCCCACCCACTCCCCCCCCGCCATATCCTTCAGGCGTGTAGCACACAGATAGTTCATCTACTAGAGCAATGTGAAAATAACACTATCTGTCAAGTTACTTTTGAAATTAACTTTGTTTTATTTAGTATTTGGTCGCTTGCATGTATTTTACTGTGGGAATTTTTGTTTTCTGTCTGAGAAACAAATATCTTGGCCAACCTCTGTCATTTTGACCCTTTTTTTAGCCTGTGAATCATCCGTCCCTTGGCTCTTCCTTGCATCTGTCTATCCAGTCTATGGCTCTTTTTTGCCTCTTGTTTTTGTGTAATGTTTGGGTTAGGTTGCTTTATTCCAGTAAGACTTTTATGCCCAAGTTAGAATGCTGGCAATAGGTCAGCAGTTGTAGTGTGAAACCAGTGTCGGGTATGAGCTTTTGCAGCATTTGGTACAGAGAAGCTGGGGGGGTGTGAGTTGAGCAGTTGGACTCAGACAAGCAGCAAATCTTACAGAAGGTTTCTGCAAAATGTTTAGATTGCATAAATACGTTGATTAGGCATGTGAAGACATAGCCCTTGTTGAGGTATCCATTCCAGTAGAGTCTGCTGTGTTGATGGACTTGCAATAGAACTGCACTTCTATTGTAGCATGTCTGGCTGACAAGGGGCACTTTTAATATGCTTGTATGAAAAAATGTGTTTGCTGACATAGCATATTTGTACCAGGTGTAGATTTCTAGTACAGTATCTTATTTGAGGTGGGATCCATGAAAGAGTATGCATGTGAGTTCCTTGCAGAATACAGTGTACAACTGATTTCTGCAAGTGGGAAATGTTAACAAAAAAATAAAACAGATTATTTGCAGAATGCTGTTAAATACACAAAATTAAACAACAGATTCCAGCTACTCTCGCCCTCTCCCCCCCCCCCCCCCAAAAAAAAAAAAAGATAGTAGTACAAATAACTAATATAATGGAAGCATTTTCTGGTCAACGATAAAAATTCCTAGCCGTAGAATACCAGTGCAGAAGATTGTTTGGATTATAACCACAGAAAGTTCATTACTTGCATGTGTGGGGAATGCACTGAAGGAATATTGGCCTACTTACATACTTAAATTCCACCTGTCTTCTGCACTTTACTCCACAGACATGAATTACCCATATAAAACCACATTAACATTTTATGTCCAAATACTTTAACCATCTTAAAACTTCTGCAAAGTAATTGATTCATCTTTATAACACACAAAGGTCTATAAAGCTGATAGTTTACATTCAATGGTATGAATTATTCCAGGTATGAGATGGTCTTTAATTGTATGGTTCTGTTCTGTGTGAAAATTAAGATTTCCAACTGGGGTTGCTGTGGTTTCAAATAATAATTGTAATAGATTTTGCTTGGCTGACCTTTTCCTTAGTAGCAGACTAAAGTTCTCTTCATTTTGTTCATCGTTAACACAAATAGATTTCACTAAATCTTTTTCACTAAAAATCTTTTTTCTGTGTGTTCAAGCACACAGTAAGGAGTTAAATTTGTCATGCAAGATGGATTTCTAACTGGGCATGTTTGAGGAAATTGTTGGTGTGCATTTCAGTTACAGTTAACACTTGAAATATTCTGGAAGCTAGAATTCGTGCAATAAATGAATAGAAGATTTGTTTGCACATCCCATGATTTAAATTGGGAACGCTGGATCTTGTATAGATGTATTTGCTGCACATAAGGAACTAATTTATTATTTTGCAATGAAAACATGTCATTGGAGAACTGACCTGATGGAAATAATGACTGACTGCATTCCTAGAATTATCCTAAGCAGAACTGTTGGCCTTCGGAAGACCTCTCTCTAGTTTATAGTACTGCCAGGAAGGACTTTGATTAGTCTGTGGCACATCTGTTGGCACCATTTCCTTGTAGGTATATTCCTTATTGTTCTTTTTACTGAAACAGTAGCAGATTCTTATCAGAATGATTTAAGTAATGAGTGTCATCTGATTCTGTGCCTAACTAGTTAAAAGTTAACATTTTTAGTGTTTTTTTTAAAAAACTTAGTTGTGACTGAATAGCCACCTATTAGTTAAGAATAATTTAAATGGTCTCTTTTTCATAGGTTTATGGAACGTGTTATTTCATCACTGTAGCAGATGTCAGATTTAAAAATACGTGAGACATATTTTAATATAAATATGTAGCTGCTATTTGTAGTCTAACAGTGGAAAGCTATAATTTAAGTAGAATTGGGAAAATATGAAAGAGAGATGTGATTTTGCTACTTATGTGCTGCAATTTTTTACTTGTACTACTTACCTTTTGTTGTAGTCTTTTCTTGTTTATCAGACTAAGTTATTGTAACAAGTACACTTAATGAAAACTGCCTTGCATTTATTAATACTTGGTGTTACTGCTTTGTTTGAATATGTGGTATTTTCCTTGGCAACTAGTCTTGGGGCAATCATTGTTAGTTTTTCTGCCTGATCGGTGGTGTATCTCCTTCTCTTGATGTGTATCATTTAGGTCCTGTCAGAGGCAGTCTGAACGGAGGTATGAGGGTTTTAACTGTCCCTGTCAACTGTGGCTGTTGCACTTCATTTAACTCTCCTCTTTTTTTGTCTTCTGCTTAAGTGTTTAATTTAACCAGCATGTATGTGGAGCACACAGCCAAAAAGTTCAGAATTGACCGTTTGGGGGTGCTGGTGAGTGCCATGACGTATAGTCACTATTGCTGCCTTTAAGACTCTCAAAGTGTTAATAATGTAGGTGACTACTGCAGGATTGGATGTTCCGTAGTAGCTCAGGACTGCTAAACTGTTGAGTTGCAAAAAACCCAAACAACCCACCCCTAAAAAACCAAGGCAAAAGACTTGATAGTTTGGTAAGTCAAAAGAGAAACTGTGGTTTATGCTGGCAGGTTATGTCCAATAAAAAGTACTGTTTCAAGTATTACTTAGAGAGAGAGAGAGAGAGAGAGATAAATCTTAGATAGAATCACCCTCCTTTTCTTTAAACAAACTCACTGTGTTAATACGATGTTACTCAAACTGTTGAGCTAGCATGCTAGTATATCCCATTTTTGAAACTCTTATAACAGCAAGCACATAACTACAGCAGAATTAAAAATGATGCTTTAGTCTTATTTATGAAAGCCTGTCTTTTATAGGTTTCTCAAACTGTAGCAGGGGTACTATTTTTGTGGTTTTAATTTGTGGCTTTCCCCATGTCTGAAACCATTGTATGTTTTGCTATTATTATAAGACTTTTCCATAAGGCTTGCATACATGCATGTAACACCTTATTCATATAATGCTTAGCAGTTACAAATATTAAACTGATAATATAAATCAAATACCTTTCTTATATCCTTGGATTGCATTTCATAATCTTGTTGGATCAGGCTTCCCATGGTAACATCTGTATCATACTCATAAAACTGGAGTGATTCTTGCTGTATAGGTGGTGCTGAATTTACCAAAGGTACAAACACAAACAAAAAAAAAGTAGTCTGCAAAGTCTTCATTCTTGCACGGAACAATGTATCTGGCTTTCACTGAGCTGGTACAGATCTGCTCATGTGTTGACTATGGAGAATACTTTCTTTGACTGGAAATGAAAATGCAATCTGTCAAAACAATATTTAAAGCCTAGAGGACTAGTTGGCAGGGTTTTCTAACGCATAAGGAACATGGAACAACTTTTAACTCTTGATATCCTTTAATTAGACTTTAGCATTATAAAAACTGGTCTTAACATGAGAAGAAACTGGGAAATAATAAACAACATTTTCCAACTAATAAGGAAAATATTATCTCAATTGAATTTGCTTGTTTCCCAGTGTGTTATTTTTGTTAATAGCAAGAGGATTTTGTAAAGCATTTTATGAAACTTTTGGCATGTATATAGCTGAACTAACTAAAAATTGAGAGGGGTTCAAATGCATTTTTCTTGGTTTTCAATCTAATGATTTTCAAACCTAAATGCTCTATAACAATAATCTCTCTTTGTCTTTACATTTAAAACTAAACAAGAGAAGATAACTTAAAACCTCCTGAATTTTTACAGGTTGTACACTTTTCTGGGTAGGGGGAAGAGGCTGCAAACATAATCTTTAAAACATTTTAAATACACATGCAATAATTTTTAAAATAAATCTTTACACAGCATTTTTTCCTTTTTACTGTACTTAAGTGTTTTAGTTAAGCTTTAGGTTAATATACTTTTAGGAAAAAAGTCCACCTACCGTTTCAGCAGATTCCAAGTTCTTCTGTGATTGTCATAAAAACAGATATCCTCATCTATATGTTAACCTAAAGTGGATTAATAAAAGAGTAAGGTTATGAATTGCACCCAAACTGTTGAAATGAATTCTCTTTCAAAGTTTGACAGTATTAAAAGTGCTTTCCATGGGGTAAAATATGCTTTGCCAGCATTCTTTCCCTAGGGTAAGAGGTAATATCCTGGAGCAGGGGGGTTGTACTTTGAATAACGTTTGTAAATGTTAAGTCTGTCTGGCTCATCCCACTTTTGATATTAGTTGTTAAAATGGTAGCCTTCTGCTTTCTGGTGCTTTATTCTTTATAATTGCTAAAGCTTTTTCTGTAAATCAAATATTAATTGTGCAAACTAGAGGTCTATAACAAGGCATGTGTTATCCATTTTGTTTAATGGTTTAGCTAAGAGACAAAGCAGCTGCCTTCTGACTGAGACAGAGGTAGAGCCAAAACATACGTATACCATATTAGTCACATTTTATGAGTAATAAAATGTTTCATTACAAGTTGTATATGTTTAGAGAAGTTTCACCTAAGTATGAAATGGAAACTTCTCAGTCTGAAGAGTTCTGGAAACAAAAAATACTTTTTAGAATTGTGTATGTGTGTTGAGACTTTCAGACAAGTAATTCATGCCGAAATACTTCATTGAATGACTTGTTAGGCAATTTATTGAAAAATTGGTTTCACAACATATACTTGTTTTGAGTGAAGTTCTGTGTCAGTTCTATAGATAACTTAGTAAACACTGTCCAGGTGTAGAATTTTCATGTGAACTGCAAGCAGCAGTTTTCTGGATTTCTAATGCATTTCTTCCTCCCCCATCCTTTTCCTTATGTATTTTTGGCAGTTAGTACAAATGGGAGCCAGATGACCAACTTTAAAGTTTACAAAGTAGCTTTTTTGAGTCTTTAAAAAGTATGTAGCCATAAAATCTATTGGGAATATATTCAGATTTACATTTCTCTTTCATTTTCATTCCTTTTTTTTTTTTTTTTTAGATAGCACTGTCAGCTAGAGTCATGCTGGGAATAAACAGTCGACCTATTTGGTGAAGTTTTCCTGTAAGTGCTGCCTTGTTTAGAAATCAGATGTCTGTAGTAAATCTGCAAATCGTAGAGTGGCTACGGCCATTTGCTCTCTAAACTTTTTTCCAGTTTATAATCAGTTACCACTTTCTGAACTCATTAGGCTTCTATAAAAATGTTTTTTGTTTAGCTCATATGCAAATTAAACAATGTCATAGTTTGGACTTGGGACTAGCTCTAGGATAATGATTTTGCTGTAAGTATATAACAGAAATGTAAAGGGAAGAGGCTTCATAATAATGGAAATTGGGTTCTGAATTACATTGGTTGCTGTTCTGCTGACAATATGAACAACAAAAGTTTTGAGGTGGCTGAATTGTTAAGGTGTTTTCTGCTGCAGTACATACCAACGTTCAGTTGGAAGTATCATGTGTTATAGAAAGGGTGGATTTGCTGAGGAAGGGACAAAAAAGTTGCAGTGCCAATACCATCTTACCATCCCTCACGGTTTCATGCATGTTTCAGAAGTAATGACAGCAGCTCTGCTTTGTACTCACCTCTTTCCAGCTGCTTACCCCCCTGCCAGACATCCACGTTAAGATTTCATCTGGCTATGGGGCATCCAAGTTTTTCCAGTGCTTGAATGTAATCAAAGGATAAATGTTCTAAGGGAAGAGTATTAAGTATCAAAGCTGAAAACATGTTATAAAATATTAAATATATTTGTTATATCCTTATGAGAATTTATTTTGAAAGTACTGAAATCCTAGCTTTCATAGCTATATACATGGAATATCTTGGAAATGGCTGAGTTTTTTCCTTATACATGACAATTTTTAAAAATGAGGGAAAATTAGTAGATAAATGAGACCTTGAAAATTTAGGAGGTCTTCATACAAGAAAGCTCTAACTTTCTTTGATCCGCAAGAGGAGAAGAGGCTTTGTAACGTTAGAAGACTTTAGTAACAGCTTCTGCAGATGTCAAAAGCCTGTGTTCATCAGGGTCACAAGATTTCAGCTTACCACAAAAGCATTGTGTAATGTGTGTACTCACTGTTGTTATCCAAGCACTTACAAGAAACTCATGAACACTTACTTATGAATACACTTGAAATGATATGTTAAGTAATTACTTTGGCATGATGTCATCAACGTTTACCTTATAGTATAGTTTTACTGTCACTTTAAACTGTCAGTGTCAAATAAAGTAGTAGTCTTGTCCCATATTTCGTCTGCTTGTCATCCCTTGTGCCAGGAGGAAAAAAGTAGTAACAAATAATTTCAAATAAAAACTTTTTATCCGAATGTGTAACAGGTGCCTGTGTCAGCTCAAGGACGGGGATGGCACCAGTAGCTGGAAACAAGGAAGGATAGTGGTGTTTCTGTCGGCAAGTCATCTGAAATGAAAAGTGTGGTTCATATGCATTGGCAATAGGGAAGGTGACCGGAGGTATTCACCCTGGCAAGCAGAGAGTGCTTTCTAGGCATTGTCAGTGCTTAGAAGTTTGATATATAGGTACCCGTTTCTTGGACTCCAGTTACAAGGATCTATGTACTTAGAGAGTGGTTTCTTTTCTGAAAACTTAAACAAGCTCTGTTGTTAACTAATAGAGCTCCAGTTTTGGAAGAGGGCCTTGATGATGTGGTTATGGTATGCTTTCTGATTTGTCAGGTGTGCCTTTTTTTTAACCCATGATACCTCATTTTTATTGACTGACTTTCCCCACAAGATAATTTCACCTGAAATGTTAGGCATTTTAAATGGCTATTTACTAATTATGTTGAAATTGAATCCTGGCTTAAATTTGAATGGTAGTCATTTCCCTACCATTGTGTAAGGGTATGAAATTTCACTCAAGATGTAAATGAAGTATAAGACTTTTTTACTTCTAATAGAGAAAATCCAAGTCAGTCTAACAGGTACACTTGCTGTCTGCATTCTGCTTTCAGAAAAACTTAACTTTAGGGGAAATGGGTTGCATATAGAGTAGATGTAGATTTGTTCCCAACGCTGCCTTCTATCAGGTTAGACAATGAAGAATAAAAGAGAGACGTTGGATAGGTATGGATGGCAGAGGTAGGCAAATTATGGGAGAGCAAGACAAAAATTAAGGTAACTATCCAAAAACTATATGTGTTGCTGATTAAATCTTCTTCAGCATTTGGGAAGGAATCTAGTATTTAGTAGTGTTTATGTCAAAAGCAGGTAAAGCAAAAAGTCAAGCTGAAAACATCCTAGAGGAACTGAGGAAAGATTTTGTTTTGCAGGCAGATGAGCAGGTTTTGTGACTTACTTGAACTGGCTGATGTTCAGCTCAGTCTATTTGTCTTGTACTTGAAGTGGCCTCATATTCTGCCCTGCTCAGAGCTGTAGTATAACTAGTTCATTTCTGTTCTCACTTTTCTACTAACACTTCGAAAGGCAGATCAAAAAAGAAACCAAAGTTTTCCTTAAAAACTAATCATGCAGGTGCTTACTGCAAAAGCTGTCATGAGCAGTTCTTAATCAGTTCTCATAGGTGCTAGCATGTTAATTACCTTTTTACCATGTTTGTGTTTAGCACTTTTTACTTAATGCTTAGTAGCTTAGTACAAAAATTATAGGAAAGAGCTTTTCTGTACTTTAACGTTGCTTTGAAATGCTATAATGTGTTTTGCAGTGGAACTGAGGGGTGGTTGCTGATAAAATTCTCAGTGTGAGGCACTTACGTCTCATTCCTGGTAAACCCCTGCAAGGTGCTGAAAAACTGCTTGACCTGAAAGGAGCCGGATTACCAGAGGGGGGTAGCCTTTCCTCTCTGTAAAACTGGTGGTTAAAAGTTACTTCTCCAGGGTGCCTGTAAGAATTATGTGGAAGCAGGGACTTGCACTGCCAAATAAAGAGTCGTGATTATGTGATGGGAGGCAGAACACTTATGAAGAAGAAGGAAGAAGAAGAAAAAAGGGAAGGGGGGAAGGGGCCTTATTTCTGGGGTGCATGGCTTAATAGGGCTATGAGGCAGCTCTAGGGAGGGTGCAGTAAGATTGCTATCAAGATATTCCTTATGGAACAAACCAAAGCTGAGATTATTATTTTTTTTTAATTTTTGAATACTCATGTTTGTTCTATATTTAGGCAAAGAAAGTGTATTTTTGCAGCTGCTTAAAGACCTTGGCTTTCATCTTGTATCATAGTCTCTAAAGGACAATATTGGCAAGTTCTGTCATTTCTGGGCTTTATTGTTTTTAAGCACTCTTGGGAGAAAGAAGTATGGATTATTGCTTAGCTTCTTCATACCTGATGAACATTAGGAACCAATTATAC